ATTCGGCATATTATACAAGTTTAATCGAGGGGTTGTTTTTTTACCTTAACTTTAAAACATCCTGTGCAGTAATTTCGTGTGTGTTTATTGCAATATTTCCCTAAATTATAATTTTACAGTCAGAACCACGACTCCTGGGCATTTTGTTTTTTGATTCATGTCAATACATGCTTTGGTTAATTTTTAAGAGGGAAATGAATTGATAACAATCAATTTACAATTTTTTTAAATTATCATTTACATTCTGAAGTAATTTTTTAATATGACGAGATGGCTTTGGCCGGAAATCTGAATCCATTTATATCTTCCTTCACCATAAAGTGAAGAAAATCTTGGAAATTGAAAAAATAAATATATGGGCATGGATAGGAGTAGAACTTCTTATTCAAAGGAGTAGAAGATAAAATTTTAAGATATTAGTGGTTAGTAGCAGCTGCCAAATTATTTTGTCTTTTGAAATAGCTACTCGCTACGGTGAGATCAACAATTATTACTTTATATTATTTTTTAACCTCTTATTGTTACATTTTCCAAAGATTTTATATGCCTATATTATTAAACTCTTCAAAAAACTGATGTTTATTTTAATATTTCAGGTAGATAATAATAATACAGAATAATTGATTCAAAAAATCAGGAATCGTGTGTCAAAAGATCGATTTTCTGCAGAATCGGTTTAAGTCAAACATCCCTAAAGTAAAGTTTCACCACAGTATGCCTAATCTGTGGTGTCACTGCCGTCTGCCGTCGATCAACTGTCAATTCAAAAGTCAATGGCTGCTAGCTGGAAGCTGGGAATACTGCAAATACATATATTTTTTTAATTTTTACACTTACAAAGAGGTTTTATTAAATGTTTGTGCTTAACTTAGGTCAATCCATATCTATATAAAGTAATAAAGTGCTAATATCCGATGTTTTTACTTAATCTGTATAGAAAATTTTACGTTTTTAGTGTCTAATATCGACTGGAACCGTAAATACTAATAGATCCTATATCTTATTACTTAGGTAGGTATTATTAAATATAAATGACGACACTTGTCTGAATATATATTAAACGAATTAGGTTTAATAAGTGATAACATCTCTGTATTTGGTCTTCTCCAAGATACCTCCTTACAAATTTTAATTTATCGTGCTGGATTTATACCTGAACTGATCTCGGGTTATTTTTTCTCTTTCAGCTACTGATCTTTTTCTATTGGAAATGATGGATAACATAGACGAAGTAAAAGAGTTAAAACCGTAAGTATGAATGTAAAGTAGTTCTTTATTAGATCCCAGTTTACAATACCTGTGACAATACAAGGTGTTTGTCAGATATTCCTTGTCTAAGGTCAGATAAGTCCCTTCAAATTTGGTGTTTTGTTTATATCACTCGAAATCATACACTTATAAGAATTTAATCAAAACAAATTTGAGGATTAACAAAATGTTTTTTTTTTAATCTGGAAAATCGTAGCCTAGTCAAGTATTCTATTTATTATTAAGTTTTAAGTCAATTCCATTGTAGTGTTTTGTTAGGTATATCAAATCGCCAAAAAAGGCCGAAATATATTGCTTCTTATGAAATCTCTCAAGTATATTGATACTACATACTTTCATACATTGATACTACATACATTGTTGTATTTTTACATACATTGATATTACAAAATATTAAACTCTCAATATTAAACCCTTATAGTAAATACCATATTTTATATCCAAGAATCCAAATATTAAATAAAATACCGGTTGTTCCATAAGAAAAAATATAACTTTAGTATGAATCTTCAAAAAATATAACTTTAGTATGGAAGTTCTGACACACCCTGTACATTTGAAAATAATTTTAAATTATGCACATTGCCTCTTTACAAATACCCATAAATAAGTTTGTTTCTATATCTTTCCGTTTTCGTATAATCAACCGAGGCGAATGAGGTGCGCCACCCTGTATAGTTCACTCATAGTTTTGTCATAATATTTAAGAATTTTAGTTTTTTGCTAGTGCAGTTATTGAGACTCTAAAACACTCAGGTACGAGGTTTGTGTGATGTAATGCTGTTTCGGGTAGTGAAACAGCGTTGTGTTGTGTTATGACAATTTCAAATGTTAATAAAATAGCCAAAAAATAGTAACGCGTAAAGGAGAGCGTAATTAGGACAATGTTAGGTGCAATAACATTAAATAACCCAACTTTCCTGAATATTCAACCCTCCCAAAACTATTTTATAGCTTCATAGTTTCTCACACCGATTTGATCAATAGCAAAAATGGATTCAAGCAGTTCGACGAAACAAGTGAGAAACAAAGTGCTCGTTACATAATCAAAAAATTAAATAGACATACTATGAGAGGATAAAATATAATTTGCAATATTAATGGTATACTATTTTAATCAACTAGTGATTACATATTTTATGAACATCTTCTAAAGTTATAATTATGTACCTTTAAAAAATGTCGCTATAGCCGAGTAAACTCCAATTATGCCCCACTAGCAAAACTGGTGATTAAAACTATGCTCGCTACCATAGTTGAACTCATCTAAAAAGTTGTTTTAACTGGAATAATAAATTATAATATACAAGTTAGACCTTCTGAAGGTATCAAAGTATTTACTTTTTTTTATTTTTAGAATTTTCACAAATTATACTTGCTAACGCTTTTAGAATAATTAAATAATAATTTTTTCGTATACCCGCTATTTAAACCCGTGTATTTGTATGTGCTAGTTTTTTACGATATTCTCCGATGGTGGCAGCACCGGCGGAGAATGCACCAAGCCTATACCGCATAATCGAAAAAATGGCGTCCAGTAGAGTTAGAGATGACGATCGACGACATTTTTCATATAGTTTTACAGTTAAAATAAGTGATCATAATTTCTAAACCATCTCTATCACCTACTTACAATGCAAGTCAACTATATTTATCTTTTTCTTAGTGGTTAAGCTACCACTACCATTTTAGAATTGTTTTACGCAATTACAAGACAAATATTTAAAAATGATTTTAGGTCCAAGGATGCGCAGAAAAATCTCCATAAATGTTCCATTTGTGGCTACCAAACACCCTTTATATCATGCTTGCAACGACACCAGAAAATTCACTTGGCCCCAGATGAACGACAGTTGTTCGCTTGTGCACACTGTGATAAGAAATATACGGAAAAACAAAGATTAAAAGACCACCTTGACGCTAATCATATTGATTGCAGGTAAATTTATTATTGTTACCCCCGGTATTTTCGGGTACTATTTTATCTTTGTCTTAGTGGTTAAACTACCACTACCATTTTAGAATTGTTTTACGCAATTACAAGACAAATATTTAAAAATGATTTTAGGTCCAAGGATGCGCAGAAAAATCTCCATAAATGTTCCATTTGTGGCTACCAAACACCCTTTATATCATGCTTGCAACGACACCAGAAAATTCACTTGGCCCCAGATGAACGACAGTTGTTCGCTTGTGCACACTGTGATAAGAAATATACGGAAAAACAAAGATTAAAAGACCACCTTGGCGCTAATCATATTGATTCCAGGTAAATTTATTATTGTTACCCCCGGTATATTCTGGTACTATTTTATCTTTGTCTTAGTGGTTAAACTACCACTACCATTTTAGAATTGTTTTACGCAATTACAAGACAAATATTTAAAAATGATTTTAGGTCCAAGGATGCGCAGAAAAATCTCCATAAATGTTCCATTTGTAGCTACCAAACACCAAATATATGGCATTTGCAACGACACCAGAAAATTCACTTGGCCCCAGATGAACGACAGTTGTTCGCTTGTGCACACTGTGATAAGAAATATACGGAAAAACAAAGATTAAAAGACCACCTTGACGCTAATCATATTGATTGCAGGTAAATTTATTATTGTTACCCCCGGTATTTTCGGGTACTATTTTATCTTTGTCTTAGTGGTTAAACTACCGCTACCATTTCAGAATTGTTTTACGCAATTGCAAGACAAATATTTAAAAATGATTTTAGGTCCAAAGATGCGCAGAAAAATCTCCATAAATGTTCCATTTGTAGCTACCAAACAGCCTATTTATCACACTTGCAACGACACCAGAAAATTCACTTGGCCCCAGATGAACGACAGTTGTTCGCTTGTGCACACTGTGATAAGAAATATACGGAAAAACAAAGATTAAAAGACCACCTTGACGTTAATCATAGTGATTCCAGGTAAATTTATTATTGTTAGCCCCGTATTTTCGGGTACAAATAGCGCTTTAAAATCTGCCAGATATATTTTATTTGACGGATAGCAGAAAAAACGTGTATCTTCACCTATAGATAGCAATATCGATTAGTTTTAAGCCTTTTATAAAAAGACTTAAATCTTTTTCAATTTCGGAATAAACATTTAAATCACAAATCAGTTTCAAAAAGACTTAAATTTTAAGTCTTATGTCAGCTTTCGAAAAATGACTTAAAATCAAATGACTTAAGTCGTTAAAATGATTTAAATCAAAAAAAGATTTAATGTCTTCTGTGAGCTTGCGGCTCTGCCGTTTGGTTAAATTAATATCAACGTATGGATGATACAGTTCTAAATTTTTTAACAAAATCATTTTGTTAATAATAATTATAATAGGGTATGGTACGGTGATATTATATGTTTGAGGAACCCTGTTTTATAGAGTTACAAGACTGTTATTTAAATATTATTTTATTTTATTAATACTTATTTAATAATTACGGGGTCGCTTTTATATATGGAAACGGTCGATTATTAGGTAAATATACAAGGTACCGCAAAAAATTAAATACAAAAATTATAGCGTTTTTAATTGTCTATTGGTGAGTAATAAATTTATGTCAACAGGGTCGGTCATGAAGTCGTGGCATATCAAAGTTTCATTTCTTTAAATAGCCTGTATATTATTGCATATTTCAATTCTTCCTTCAATTCTAAGCAAATATCGAAATACACTTAATGTATCTCAAACCAACCGTTTCCAAGTTATTGACTTTTGAACATATCACTTAAACAATTTGATTTAATTCATATCGATATGTTCAGTTTCATTTAGTGATGTCATTCTGCCGAAACTGTGATACTGTTGTAATGGGTTTCTAAATGCCTATTAGCTACTAGTAAATTTAAATATACAGGGTCGGTCATAAAGTTGTGGCACATCAATACAATGATATGATTTATACATCTATAATTGCTAATTTGAGAACTGATGTCAAATTTTATTAAGTATCACAGTTTCGGCAGAATGGCATCGTTAAATGACACTGAACATATCGAAATTAATTAAATCAAATATTGTTTAAGTGACATTTTCAAAGGTCACAACTCGGAAACGGTTGGTTTGAGATACATTGTGTGTATTTCCATTTTTGCTTAGAATTGAAGGAAGAATTGAAATATGCAATAATATACAGGGGGTTCTATTTAAAAAAATAAAGCTTTGATGTGCCACGACTTTATGACCGACTCTGAATACATGAATTTATTACTCGCTAATAGGTATTTAAAAATGCTATAACTTTTGTATTTAACTTTTTGCGGTACCTCCTATATTTTACCTAATAATCGACCGTTTCGATATATAAAAGCGACCCTGTATATTCTTTTGTTAGATCGAAAGAAGCTGAGCTAAAAGTCCATAAATGCGCCATATGTGGCTTTCAAACGCTAGATAAGCGCAATTTTTACAGACACGGGAAAATTCACATGGCACCGGAAGACCGACAGTTGTTTGCATGTGCACACTGTGATAAGAAATATAAAAAGAAACAAACCTTACGACATCACCTTGAGAAGAAACATATTGATGCCAGGTAAATTTATATTCGTGTAGCTAGGGTGTTTCAAAATAAAAAAAATAAACATTTTTCTTATGGTGTTGACCATAAGTAAAATAGGTAGGGGTAGATACGTGAGATTATATGCTTGAAGAACCGTATTTTACAGAGTTACAGGACTTCTTTTACAGAGTTTCTGACCGTATTTCCTGTTACAGGAAAGAAGCTGAGGAAGAAGTCTTTCATTGTACCAAATGTGACATTCATACGCCATATAAATCAAATTTTTGCAGTCACAGGAAAATTCATTTGCCACTGAAAGACCGACAGTTGTTTGCATGTACACACTGTCATAAGAAATATACAACAAAATATTTCTTACGACGCCACCTTGAGGATAATCATATTGATTCCAGGTAAATTTATTTTTTGTAATACATTGTTTAGACATTGCTCTTATACGTTCTCTGATCAAATTAAAATTAAAGTACTAAAAAAATTGATTTTAGGTCAAAGAATCCGCGGAAAAATATCCATAAATGTTCCATTTGCGGCTACCAAACAGGACATGTGGCATACTTTAGAAAACACCAGAACATTCATTTGACACTAGAAGAACGACAGATGTTTGCTTGTACACACTGTGATAAGAAATATACAACAAAATGTTTCTTACAACGCCACCTTGAGGATAATCATATCGATTCCAGGTAAATTTATTTTGTGTAACACATGAATGATATACAGTGTCACAGATAAAGTCTGAATGCTTTATTCATTTTCTTTACTCATATTACATATACACATGTCTTCTCTTTATGTCACAGTTGCTGTGGTAATCAATAAATTTGACTTTTAGGTTATACAATTTTTTTGACAGGTAGCTTTTTTCGTCCAAAAATTTTAGAGTGTTTAATATCAAAATTCATAAAATTTTACAGAGAATTTATGTGTGTAATAAAAAATGAGGGCACCCATTTAAAATAAGAAAGTTGCTGTCAACTTCCGGAAGTGCCGCCATATTGAAAATATTTTTAATCGATAGATCTCGTTGTAAAACAATGATGTGCAGAAAATGTCCGATCTAGATCTTATAGGTCTCTAGAAACTTCTAATGCACGCTTAGCCTGGGACACCCTGTATAGAATACGTTGAAGTTCATAAGGGCTGTGGACTACTTATCATTAACCAAATATAATATAGGAATATATTGCTATAGTCTATAAAATGAATAACTTTGAATTTTGACCGTTATTTTTTACCAACATGGCAAATATAAAATCCCTCTGTCAAAAAAGTTACTGATATTCTTTAAATTGAGTGCCTGAACGAATCAGATAGGTAACTCTTTTTACTTTCGTGAAATAGAAAAGGAAAATTATAAAACAAGTGACCGTTCTTCCTCTTCTTGCAAAAATCAACGCGAAATGTCATAATTGACAAGAGTAAAATGTCATCAGCCTTTGACATTTCTAAATATCAGACTAATGCCGTCTCTAATAGAACAGCCTGGGGCGAGATTTATGACGTTACGCTAGTTAGATACCACGGATTAATAAATATGTTGTAGAGTACACGGAAAACATAGTCCTCGTATTTTTAGTTTTGTATTTTAAAAATGATATAGTGTAGATGAACTATACATAATATACAGTTAATAAATACAATATATATATATATATATATATATATATATATATATATATATATATATATATATATATATATATATATATATATATATATATATATATACACATATATATATATATATATATATATATATATATTAATAAATACAATATATATATATATATATATATATATATATATATATATATATATTAAGATAAGATAATGGGTAAAAATGTAAAATATATTTTTAAATTTTACCCAGAGGTTTGAAAACGAATTGATCTAATTTAACAAAAACAGTTCAATATCTACTAATAGTGATGTATTATTATTTGCAATTCCCCAAAAATTTATATGTTATTTGCAAGCATCAATGTGCGAAAATTATATTTGAAATAACATATCATAGAAAAAAAAAGGCGTCAGCGATGGCTTGAAATGAAGATCGCTGCCATTTTATATGTAAAATTATTCTAAATTTTTTGAATTTTTTTGGGATTTAGGTTCGGGAAAAACGCTGATTAAGTTTGCATTCGGTTTTTTCATTATTTTTTTTTAGTTTAAAAAAAACGTTATAGCTAACGTTTATAGCCTTCATCAGTGCTGTGTCATTTGAAATTTAAAATGTTCGAATATAATCCAAAAAAATCTACATATACGAGGAATGTTTTCCATGTATTCTACAAAATAAATTAATGCCGTATATATAATAGCGTGACGTCATAAAGCTCGCTCCGAGGCTGTTCATTAGAGATGGCATTGCATCAGCATGGTCGCAAGTTGCTAAACTAATAAAACTAACACTAGAAAAGCCCGCGGGAAGTGTCAAATTCAATGAACACGTTATTCGTTTACAGACTACATAGTAACCGCATTTACACATGGAAGTGAAGGGAGTGTTAAAGCGCAAAAGAAGAAAAGGAATGATCAATCTTGCATAAATCTATCCTTTTCTATCCATCTGATTCGTCTACTTCATCGCTGAACGCTGTCACCTGCCCGCGCACTATTTTAACGCGAACGTAAGCCGTTTGGTGTCGGTTTTTGGTCCGTGCTCAAAGGGATTTTATTTGTGCGCGAACGCTCAGTTTGCACCGGCAATTTGTTTTGTCTGCGTTCGCGCGTGCGTGTGTAATTTTTTTTCGTTTATCTTGTGTATTAATGTATTGAACGTGGAGATTGAGATGAGTGTACTCTCTCGCTCGTTGTCTCACTATGTTGAAATGAAAAATATGAAAGTTGCCATATATTAATGTTAACACATTCTTTGTATTATTAAAAAAGTCAAAAAAAATTTTTTTTTTTTTAAAATGTAAATAAATTGAATATTTTTTTTTTTTTTTTTATTAGTTATTTATTTTACTATAGTCTATGAAATGAATAACTTTTAATTTTTTGACCAGTATAATTTTTTACCAACATGGCAAATAAAAAATCCCTCTGTCAAAAAAGGTTTGACTGATATTCTTTTAAAATTGAGTGCCTGAACGAATCAGATAGGTAACTCTTTTACTTTCGTGAAATAGGAAAGAGGAAACTAATAAAACAAGTGACAGTTCTGCCTCTTCTTACAAAAATCAAACACGAAATGTCAATAATTGTCAAAAGTAAAATGTCATCAGCTTTTGACATTTCTAATATCAGACCAATGCCGACTCTAATAGAACAGCCCTCGGAGTGAGACTTATGACGTCACACTAGTTAGATACTAAGGGATTAAGAAATATGTTGTAGAATACATGGAAAACATAATTCTTCCTTGTATATTTTGGTTGTATTTTAAAAAAATGAATATTAGTTTACATGAAATATAAAATATAGGGCTACCTTACGCATGCTTAATAACTACAACATATACACCTATGTATAGTAATAATACTTTGGCAAATAACTATGAACCATACAAATGCGGCATGTTTACAATATAAAAATAATGAAATACGGTACATAGGATAATGGGTAAAAATGTAAATTTTATTATTTTGGTTTGAAAATCGATCTAATTTTACAAAAAACATTTTTTTTTTTTTTTTTTTTTTTACATTTTTTATTTGCATTCACAAAAGTTATATGTTTATTTTGCAAGTATCACTGTTTCAAAAATTATATTTTGCAAATAAATACAATATAATATTTTTTTTTTTTTTTTGATAAAATAAAAACGTCGTCGGCGATGCCTATGAAATAAAGATCGCTGTGTCACTTTTATAATATGTAAAATTATTACTATAATTTTTGAATTTTCTTGGATTTCGGGAAACGCTGATTAAGTTTTCATTTGGTTTTTTTCATTATTTTATTTGGTTGAAAAAAACCTTTCGGCTAACATTCTAGCATTCCCTGTTGTTCATATGAAAAAAATATGTCGAATTAATCCAAAAAAATACATATAAATATTCACACCACACAACACATAATGTTTATTGCAATTAAGATATTGAATATAAACTGGTCAAAAGATGACCACATATTTTTTTAAATTATTATTCTTAACACTAAAACTATCTACATTGACTTTGCAGTACGATTTCAGCAATAGTCAATGTAGATATCTTATGTACCTATTCATTATTTGTATATTGTAAATTATAAAAAAATTTCCAAGATTTTTTTATAAAAAATTCCGAATTTTAATTTTTTTTTTCGCGAAAAAAACTTCATAATCGTGTTTAATATGACTACCCCTAAAAATATTTGCACATATTTAAGACTCACCCTGTATATATTAAATAGAATTCCATGACTATGTGGGAAAAGGGGGTCCACTTGACGTGAAATTACTCAGTTTTAAATATGAGTATTATTTTTCTAATACCCTAAATTTAAGGTCACTGTTTTAAAACTTGAAAGTATTCAAAATAATGGCACTTATCAAAAAAACTTATTCAAATATTGGCAGCTTGATCTGGAAAAAATTCCAGGCACCATATGTTGGCATTTTAATTGTTTTTGTTTTCCACAATGCCGATTGTACATCTTCAACTGATGAAGAAGTGATTTTAGATGCTTTAAAAATCGAAATTGATGATCTCGCTTCGCCTTTGGATGACTCTAAGTATAGTTTTTAAGTGTATTTTTACTAATTTACTGATAATAATGTAACTCATTAATTCCAGAAATTCTGAATGTTTATCTGTGACTAATGAAATAAAATCAGAAGATTTTATAAAAACAGAACCTGAAGATGTTGCTCCGATTATGAAGACAGAGGTGCACGATGACTAAGTATGTTTTTTAAATGTACACTCAGATGCAAAAAAGCAAAGGAGAAATTTTGGTCAAATTAAAGTGTTATATTTTGTTATTTTTAGCCATATTTTCCATGATTTTTTTAGCAAGTTGCA